GGAATATTGCAATATACAGTACGTTGCGAGCGACATTTGATGTATGCGTTCGCGTATAATAAACCCAAGAAAATTCAAAATGGCCGACATATATATATATATTCGAAGGTCAAACTTTTCTGGATCCAGTGTATATATATATATATATATATATAGTGTGAATTATATATCATTTTTATACCCAGCGGAAGCAGAAAGATGTTGTCTGCCGCGGCTGGGTCTTGAACCCGCGAATTTCGAATTACTAGATCAACACTCTACCAACTGAGCTACACGGTCAGACGGATTTAAGACTGGAAATTATGTAATATATACTGAATGTCATAAACATACTCGTTTATATTAATTCAGCATCGAACAATACTAGTTCTGCAAGTGTTATGTTAAGTTGTGTTATTGTACACTCCGTAATATGTTAAGATGAAAATGTTCTTGAGTGTGTATATTATATATAATTTCCAAACCCAGCGCAAGCGGAAAGATGTTGTCTGCCGCGGCTGGGTCTTGAATCCGTCTGACCGTGTAGCTCAGTTGGTATACTGGCGGCACGACCGCATCGCCTTCAAAGTCAAATATCTCCGCTCAAACTTCTCATACGCCAAAACAAATTCGATTACATCTTTTCGCAAAGATTTCTCTTTCTAAATAATATGGTTTGATCGTAGCTTGGGCAAATTTAGCGACGAACGGAACCAAAATCTCCTCAATTTCGGATACTGTTCAAAATACTTAGGGCTGCTCGGGCACGATCGTGGACGTGACGTAATCAATACATACTGACAATAACGCCTTACCCGGGCTGAGACAGCATATCAAATTCGACGATAGTTTGTCGCTTTATGCTGTCCCACCCCACGTAAGGCGGTAAGGCGTTATTGTCAGTATGTATTGATTACGTCACGTCCACGATCGTGCCCGAGCAGCCCTAAATATTTTGAACAGTATCCGAAATTGAGGAGATTTTGGTTCCTTTCGTCGCTAAATTTGCCCAAGCTACGATCAAACCATATTATTTAGAAAAATAAATCTTTGTGAAAAGATGTAATCTTGAGCGGAGATATTTGACTTTGAAGGCGATGCGGTCGTGCCGCCAGTGATTAGCCTTTTACTGTTATATTATATATAGATGAGCACACACAATGTAGGCCACAGAATATGTTACATCAACCGCTCTAAATGAGCTCATGGAGTAATTAAAATAATGCAAAGGTATTATACTATCATGTCAACTATATTTTATTGTTAAAATGTATTTATTTGACTAATTTAAGAATGTTTTTAAAATAGTTTTGGTTCACTATAAATTTGTTTATAAAAACCGTTAAAAACCCGCAACACCTGATTATTCATTCTGAGATTGGGCGGCCTGTGTTCAAAACGTGTGGTTCACAACGTCAATACTAACAATGCCGCTTTGATGGAGAAGTAGACGAAGTGGATTATACTGGTTCGCCTGTAACTTCAAAGATGTGATAAACGTACGTCGAAAGGAATAAGGTGAGTTTTATAATAATTTCGAGAATTATAATGTAGTGATTGTTGTCTGCGATTGTCATATAATACGACCGCTTTAACATTGATGCGGACGCCGGAGGTTATACTCTACATTGTGAATTTGCAGTCTGAGTTATAAAAAAAACTTGCGCGCGTTTTGACATACTGTCAAGCAGCTTTGTCTGATTATTTTATCTTGCGTTTACTGCTTTCATTTCAATTATAAGGTCAAGTATTTTAGAACCCGAGTTGGAAAATAGCCCAACCTCGACTATATCATATACATATAGGAATAGAGGATTTTGTGCATTCTATTCAAATTACGCACAACAACACAGACAACAATATTTTATTCATTAAATTTCATTGGCAAACTGTAATGTTTTTATATTGATTGCTGAACGGTGGAATTTCTTTTATTAATACTCTGGGTAAGATGATATACAGTATACACTAATACAGCTGGACCTGGCTCCCATTGGTCATTGATAGGTAAAATTACTTAGCATATAAAGATCCCCTTGGCAAATAAAATCAAAATTGTCTGGCATTACACAGAATAAAACAATAAAATAAGGTACTGTATATTTGGAAACATTGCAGGTTAATGGTTAAAAATCGAATATAAAATTAGTGTTGGCAAAAATATTCATGAAGCACCAGCTCAGACAGGGGGTCGGAATCTTGAGTATTAATATTTCAGAGCAAAAATATTGATTATTATATAGTGTTCACATTATAAAATTGCCAAACATAATTCTAGTTCTCAACCATGTCAAACGATAAAGTAAACTTAATAAAGTGCTTATTGCCACACCTGATAGAATCTCATTTTAAAGTAGATTAATTGCCGCATGTAGTGTTAAGGTGAGATGGCACATCTCTTATCCGTCCTGGACAAATGGCGCATTTGACACAGGTAACAATTATAATGACGTATTTTTACTTTCATGAAACGGCAATGCATCGATATGATTTTTCAATGGCAAAATACAATTGGACTTCTCCAGTGACTAATTATATAGTTAAAGGACACTTGCTCAATGGCTTCCCTGTTAGATACTGGATACCTTTCAAAGTAGATTAATTGCTACATGCAGTGTTAAGGTGAGATGGCTCATCTCTTAACCGTCCTGGACAAATGGCACATTTGACACAGGTAACACTATAATGAAGTAATTTTTCTTTTTTGAAATGGCGATGTATCGATATGATTTTTCAATGGCAAAATGCAATTGGACTTAACCAGTGATTAATTATATAGTTAAAAGACACTTGCTCAATGGCTTCCCTGTTAGATACTGGATACCTTTCAAAGTAGATTAATTGCTACATGTAGTGTTAAGGTGAGATGGCAAGTAGTAGTATAGGGAAGGGGGGTTCTGAACCGGGTGGAGCGGGTGGAGCACTGGAGCTTCACCCATTACGTCATCAGGATATCATTTCATACCAATTACACACGCTTATAGTGTCTTAAACGAGCGTAAACCATAATTACACTCCGTTTTAACAAAACTTTGTGTATCGGTGTCCCGAAACGCGTTTATACCATTATTCCCATATGTTTAGTATTTTATTCATTAACGTGGTATTTCATAATTAATCGAATAATAGTTGAAAACAGAACAACTCAGGTTTAACCATAATGATGAGGGAGGGAATAAACCATGACGGCTTTTATTAACAGGTATTAAAAATGGCCCGGGGGCCTTTTTTATGGCCCGATGGCCCGATTCTCTAATTTCTCTAAGTAGGTCCACTATCCTCAGGCTCAGGAACCCCCTCCACCCAACTATAACCACCCTCCACCACCATTAACAGTATACACTACAGCTCAGTTTCTTCAAAATCCAAAGAAAACATAAAGGACAATAGAGGGAGAGTGTGAAAAAGTGTTTTTGAATTCATCATATTACAAAGTTTTATTAGATTATCTTAGAGCACAATTGTATAACACCATTCTTATATCCCCACCATATGTGAGATTTGTTACACAACTTATATGTTAATTTTATAGTGTCCATGAGCTAATGTGCTAACACCGCCTTCTGAAATGAAACGTTTATCGTCGTATAGACTTAAAGCAATCTTGTTTAATTTGATGGAGTAGATCTCATGACCGTTACTTCGAATCTGATTCATTGACGCTTTTGTCTGCTTCTTATCCAATAAACAGATTTTATAATTGTCATGTCTTATCTTCTTCTTTGTTACTGACTTCTTTATCCCTTTAGCTGTTTTCTTCTCCATCTGTTTGTTGTTTTCAGTGTATAGGATAGAGTACATCTTTGGCTTCAAACCAATGAACTCTTGGATTGGAATACCATGTGTTTCGTCTTTCATTTTCCCGAGGACTTTCTTGTTTCTGATACTGTGAAGAGGATGATCTTGTGTGTATTCGGATGTGTCAAATAGCTCTGTGTCTTCCAACATGTCTTGGTAGATGTCACGAGTCTTCACTTCATAACATAGACTATCCGTATCGGTGAAAAGCAGCTTAGCGTTAACACCATACTTCTTTTTCATATATTCGTAATGAAACTGGTACATCAACACCTTTGAGAGATCCAGGATTGTAAATCCCACATAGATTGGTCGATTTAAGTATAGCTTTGTCTTCCTCATATTCACAGCAGCGAGATCTTCAGAAAAAATGCGGAAAGAGTCAAACGATGGACGAGCAGTTAGTTTTGTCAGCTTTGTCTTATCATTAACCAACTTGACATTGAATCGCTTTCTCAGATTCTCCATGGTCTTTCCAAACACCGCATTATTCATCAGCTTGTAGAAATCTTTCTCAAAGTCATTCGCGGCGTGTTTTCTTCTTTCTGTGTTGAAATCGATATAGGCTTTTAGCCATGGACTTTGTTGAAACACCAAGACTCTATGGATTCCCGCCACCTCCATCCCCAATGCAAGATGTAACTTCAGATTACGGTAGTGTACAATATAGTTGGTCTTGTCGTTAAGGTTGGGTACTAATTTTGGGACAGCGACACTTCCGAGATTTAAATCATCTGAGAGCTGTTTGCAATAGGGTGATAGCATTTCAGGACAGATCTTCATCTTTTCAGGAGCCAATGGATAATCATTATGTAGATCATGTAACTCTTTGGGATACTTTAAATCCACTTCGAGAATATAACCTTCTTCAGAGCCATCGGGAATTTGTGTGATGTCAAGGTTGGAGATCTCTTCTTCATTTAACCAATCGAATTCACCAGTTGGTAGAAGCTGTGACATAGCCCAGCCATAAAGATTATTAGCATCGAGATACATCACGTAAGATGAGTCTTGATCAGGGTCATAGTCGGGAACGTATGGATTGTTCGCCTTACTGAAACGGTTACTTATCATGGATATTCCACCACGAAGCCCTTCTTCGATGAATAAATACATATCTGGATCAGTCAATAACTCTAGTTCCACTTCTGTCATTTTTAGACAAGCTTGCCACGCCAATCCAGGACTTGTGTAAAAGTGACAAGGATCTAAATTGTATGCTTTTAGACAGACGTTTCGGAAGTTTTCAAATACATCAGCAAGATGTTGTCCGATTTTAAGTACAAGTCATGATAGTCTCCCATACTTTGGCAGCCGAAAGCCTCGAAGACGCGAGTAGCGTGGTTGTAGTCAGTATCTGTAACGTGTTCATCATTTAGAATACTGTAGAAGCATTCTTTAGGAGGCAGAGTTTCTTCATCAAACTTTTTCACACTATCCTTGTAGTCATAGGGATATACGCCTTTCCGCAGAAGCAATGGTACTCTTTCAGCTTCAGTGTGTTTCTGGAGAATTGGAAACATATCTACGCCACTCTTTGAAAGATTAGACACCAACCGTTCGAGGGGAGCGTTCATAAACTGAAGTGAGTCAATAAAATCTAGTTTATCGATGGAAAAGGAAATATACTTTTCAATATTGTTGGGGATGCAGTTGATCTCCTTATTCTTTAGCTTTCCAAGACCTTGCATAATCAGGTGGGAGTCCTAACCACGAAGATTATGCAGAATGACAGGAATGCGTCCAGTAAAACTATAGTTCAAGTTACATTCGTTGTGTGCGGCTCCACGATACTTTCCTGTGAGATGGCAATGATCGCGAACTCGGTCGGCGCCCAATTCAAAACCACAGATATGACAGTTAATGGCCTTTTGAAACATCTGTTCTTCTTCGTTCTCAATGCGCATCGGCTCGATGAAACTAAGTTTTTCTTCGATGTATTGCCGTTCTGTCTCTAAACATTCGAGAAACTTATCCACAGCATCCTCACCATGATACACAACGGGCAACTTGGAATATTGTTCTGCCTCTGATACGACAACATACGAAAATCCACAAGGTTGGTGATGCTGGTATTTCTCGGTAGATGATTTAGTTGGATCGGGAGTTGCTGAATCGATCTTTGCTGTGACGCTTTCAAAATCAGCATAAATAGCAAATGGTACCTTGAGTTGTTTGTGATAATCTTTGAAATAGAGTGAAGCATTGTCTTCACTCGGTAACTCCATACGCTGGGCTCCATGTCGACAACAGTGGGGCTCATGATCTTGTGGAAGGTCTTCTCGAATAAATCCATGTAGACAGTAACGACAGTAAAACATACGGGCCTTTTTACGATTCTGGTCGTAGAGCAATTTATTCAGATCTTTGATGAGACAGTAATGCCTGCTTGTTTCCTTGGAGTATAGCAATAAATTCACATGGGTGTCAAAATGTTCTTTTGTAATATAAATGGGAAAGAGTACATCTTCAAAACCAAGCACGTTCACTGAGATGTTATTTTGACTTTCAAATTTTCCAATCTTATCAATTGTGACAGGAAACTCGATACCACTGAAGTCTAATTCATGTTCAAATTGTATGTGATGGGATTGTCTGTCCACATGTTGAGCGGCTGGATGTAGAGCAGCGAGGATTGACCACATAAAACATTTATTATCTGTGTTCTTGACGTTAATAATGGCTTTCTTAGTTTTCAACTTTTTCGGTAGAGGAATATAACTGGAACCTTTGAGTGGAGTATATTTAGCCAGGTTTAGGTCTAAATGAAGTATTTCATCTAGGATCCAACCGCTTCCTTCTTTTTGATATATCGCCAAGGAATCCAGAATTTTACTGCAAGCTTCTTGTAGTTGTTTCTCCATATCATGAGCATTAATCGTTGTTGTACACATACTGCGAAAATGTGGTTCACTGAATAGATCTTCACCGTCCACTTTGGGTTTAACAAATCTCGCTTTCACGCTGATGAACCATTTCAATCCTCTCTTCATTTCCAACTCTTTCGATAGATGAA